TGCCTTTGACCCCATTTTCTATGACTATGGTTCATATATCTAACTAGGTTATCCCCACCAAAACCCATATCATATGCTAGGGAATTTGCTAATGGGCATAGGGAAGGAGGAGAGAACTCTATTTTTGTAGGGGTCGTGGCTCTTATTTGAATAATTTGGTGTTCACAGAATAATTTTGTTTTAAAAAAAAACATATACTTCCTTTTTTAGACTACTTTCAAGGGAATATGTTAGCAATGTTTTTGGACGTCGATGCAACATGAGGACACTAGGGAGATGACATGAAGGCATCCAAAGCTTTGGAGGTTGTCGCTCTGTTTATCTTCATGAGCAATGGATGAAAAAAGCAATAATAGACTTTGTTTATAGTTTCCCATTTAATGTGTCCTCTTTCCCTTCATTTGATAGTCAACAATTGAGCTGAAAACTCGGTGACTAAGAATTGTTGTAGGTGGTTGCTAAAGCCGCAATTTTTTCCTTTTCTAAATTAACGAGAAATAAAATCAGAATTAAGATATATCCACATGTGGGTCACATACAAGTACACGACTTTGAACCAGATAGTGCATGGAAATAATTAGATGGTGTCTCAGTTTAAGGTGGCAAATGGAACTAATCAATTTCATGGAATGAATCCCAAAAATAAACAGGTACAGATTAACCTGTGGCCAGACATTACCACATCTAATGCTCCACCCCTCAAATTCTTAAGTCTGCCATAAAACATCAAATGCTCTCGACCCGTCAGTGTTTCCCATAGCAAGCTGCATGGAGATGATCAACGTAAAGGGGTAGCGATCACAAATTAACAAATCTCCCGCCTTAAATTTTGAGAGAAAAATAGTTCAGAATTATACGGGTTGCTTTTTTGTAACAGAGGCTTAGTGAGAGACAAGAAGTTAACATTACTCAAATTGTGGACAAACACCAATTCCTGTATAGATTTTGTTCATGTCCAATCGTATGTCCATTCCATCAATATAAGCCGTGCCAGATGTAAGTTTAGTAAATCCTGTCAGCTGTTGTCAGGTTAAGAGTTAATCAAATTCGATAGTGTAATGTAGCAATGAGAAATAAATTATATAAGCTAATCGATGAACTATTGAACAATAGCTAGTGTTCTGGAATAAAGAGGAAATCAGGAACTTCTAAACATGATGTTTCCTGATTTAAACAAATGGGTATAGCAACTCTCCTAAATTGGTGACATTTCCCGGGAAAGAGAAACTGCAGTGTGAAACATCCTGTATACATTACTGATTTATGCATCTAAGACTGTTTGTATTTACCATGCTAATGAGAGAGGTTTTTCCAGCACCATTTGGACCAAGAATTCCAAAACACTGCCCACGTTGTATAGAAAGTGATAACCCTGTGACAGCAATTTTCTCTGCATTTCCATCTTTTCCATGGTACACTTTCTTAAGATTGTCGCATATTACTGAATAACTGCTATCCGATTCTTGTAAGAGTTGTTCAACTATTTCTCTCTGAAAACAGAAAAAGGGGAAAAGCAATATTATTGTGCCAAGAATTTGGTAAAACAACATTCATGCAGGAGTACTGGAGTAATTCCAAATAATATTTTTATCTCAACTTGCTTTGTCACACTATCTGCAATATCCAAGTTTGGTGGGATGGTTTGTGGTTTGGTCGACATAGTGTTCAGAATATCAAGTTAGCACACGGTCTACTTTATTCTATTATTCAGATTTAATCAAGCAGAACATAAAAGCGTACAAAAATAGAATTGTATAAGCACAAGGGTAATGGTGATAGATAATATGGAAGTGCACCTCTCTCAATACATCAGTCATGTCTGTTTCAACTGAGGATAGGAATTCTTGAAGCTGAATAGTCTGCATCTGACAAGTGTGAGAGCTCCAATCTGTGCTTGAGTGACAAGCTGATACTATTTTTCTAATTCCGTTTTGGAGAGTACCAAATTCATCCAAAAAGAATGTTAACAAAAGGAATGTGGCCCACTCGATTGCCATTATGATGAGAATGTCTATCATTCCATTCTTGTGATCACTCAAGTCTTCCCAGTGTATTCCAGAAAAGTCTGTACGATACAAAGGTGATGGAGGTGGAGAGAACTCGTAGATTATGCGGTACAAAGAAAATGGTGGGAAGAACTCCATAAGTGTTGTCCAGCTTCCTGAAGCACAGAAAAATATGATATTTTTTCTTAGAAGTAATAGTAGGGGGGTATAAGATATATCACAACAGACTTAGCCATAATGTAGGAAGTAGTTTGGGCACAGACTTGACATGGACATATCTTCAAAAATAGGCCTGAATAAATATTCTCCTAAATAGGCAGACCCAATTGTGAAGAGATATCCAGTCACTGCATGAAACAATTACATATAATGATAGTCAATAATTTGCTGGAACCATCTGAATCTGAACAAACAGAAATGCAAACACTCGAGTAGAAGCATACCACTAGCAGTTCTGACTTTTGAAAAGTATGTTGCTATAAGAAAAGCAAACGAAATTTGCAAGTTTATGTAGGCGAAGTAAACCACAAATTGTACCCTGTAGTCACTCAATATAAATAACTTTATGCCTGGCAACAGAAAGACAAGTATTATTTCCAAAGCAAAGTAATTCACATGATTTGAAATGCACAAGTGGTCCCTAATGTATGCTTTCAACATATTATAAATAATTTTTCACCATATCGAAAGCAGCTATTATCAGAAGAAAACAAAAAAAAAACTAAAACTAGTGTACTATTAACCATTTGTACAACCTTAACACTTCTAAAATGTACCCTTTTATTTGGGATATTAACGCAGCGCATCTTGTCAAATTGTGAAATGAATCGTCTTACCAAAAAGAGAGCCAAAAAACACCAAGAAGAGCATATACAGTAGCGATAGAAGAAGAAAATAGCAGTATGATATAATCCCGTATGCCATATCTCCTAGGCCATGCATCTTCATTATAGTTCTTAGCTTCTGTTCCTTGTCATAGACTAAATTGCTCAGGATGACCTGCAATAGCAGCAAGTTTACATCTGATTATGCAAGTTAACTAATGTCTATATCAGGAAAGAAAAGAAGTTCCCATCTACTACATGCTGTTCAGTCTACGGTAAAGGAGACCATACAGGGAAAAGAAGCATTATCATCCATACGAAAACCAATTTCCCCACTAAGAAAGATATATCAATAGGCAATTCTTGTTGAGCAACTCTAGGCATGTCTTTAATAAACTCAAACTGTATCTTAGTATCACTGCCCCTCAATTGAAGGTATGCATTTGAGACCTGCATAGGAGCACCATAAAATAAGCAAAACAATGCATAAACATTTGAATAATTTTTTCTACACGAAAGCATTTAGTAACACAAGATTTTGACTTTCAAAGAACATTCAAAAGTGTAATAGTTTTTTTTTAAAAAAAAAGGGGTGTGGTGACAGATAGCAGAAGCTATCATATAGAAAGCAAGGAAGTTTAAACCATTACATCTTAGTTCCTTATGACATTTATATAATGGTGAGCTGAGTGTTGGGGGAAAATAGTATGTTGTGGCAAGTATGTTTCACCTGGAAAATTATATTTTTTCAGTCAAAAGAAACAATTACCAGATTCAATAACCGTGGAACTCGAAGCAATATTGGTGAAAATGAAAGTGAAGATAACGACAATGACAATTGAGTATCACCCTTGTATGTTGAGTTGTATGAGACAATCAAGTTAAACTTGTTGAGGTTTGAGCTTGTGAGGTCATATGCTGTAAACAGAATAATATAAGTTGATTAGAGTTGTCAATTAGGGGGAAAATATATGATCAAGGAGAAGAATGGTAAAACCTGAAGCAATTTGATTGGCTTGCGTATCCTCTTTGTAATAAACTCTATATGATTCACTGTTAATGACTGATGAGTCCTCTCGCCAGAGAAATAATCCTTCAATACATTCCACATCTGATCCAGGCCAGTTTTTCAGATAAGAATAGCTGTTAGGGTTCATCTTATTTCACAATGACTTAGTCTAGTCATATTTCAGAAAAGGTACTCTATCTGATCAATGTCTCAACCAAATCGTCGAATATTTGTAGAAAAAAATATCTGGTAAATTCCATTCTAAAAATAGTAGTAATAATGCACTAAATGTTACTATTAGCCACCTGTTTTCCTTTTCCTTTTCCTTTTCTTTTTGCGAATTAGTTTTATTTTCCTTAAAAAATCATAAAAGAACTGCATATTGTACCCACTAGATTTGTGTTAAGCCAACTCTGTAAACACTAAATTATCGTTTGATTTCTCTACATAGCTCCTGGGCAGCCGTTAAGAATCTCACCTTTGGTAAAATTGCTGCTACCTTCTTGGACTAGAAAAGAAAGTGTCGCGTTCGGAGTGCAGCTTCTCTGAAGGAAAAAGAGGTGGTTGCGGTGGTCAAAATCAGAACCGAGTTCCTCAGCGCCATTAGAGATAAAGCGCATTGCATCTGTACCCTGAAAATGTTTCGCAGGGAGTTAGATCAATGGCTCAATTCAACAAGCGAGCAGCAGAGCATCACACAAAGCTCAATTTAGGGAACCAACCAGTGCGAAATCAGCAATATTGGAGATGTCGGCTGCAGAATTCAACTCCCCATGCTTGGGTAACATGTTACTCATGACACCTGCAAGAACCAGAAATCATGAAATTCCAAACCTATAACAGCATTTTGCAAGTAGGAAACTCCAACATTTACCGCAAAACTAAAGATGTGCATACTTTCTGCAAATGACTGGTTGGTACCAGTGACAAGGAACGTCGCCGCGGGGGGTTTCGACCTTCTGATCGAAGCGCCCGTGAGATTGGTCGACGCCGAGGAACCGATGTCCATGTCGTCCGGTGCCGGCGGCAGCTGCAGCACCGGCGGCCATTTCGGCGCGATCGGCAGGGGGCATTCGGTTGGGCAAACGAGACCTCCTACCGTGTCCGTGCTGGAGCTGTTGGTGCTAGCGGTGCAGTAGCCGCAGTCGATCCGTGGCCTGTGCGCCGCTGAACTGGCGTAATAAGCTATCGCCACGATCATCTGCACCCCTCCGAGTAGCAAGCAGATGAGCAGCGGGAAGCAGATGAGGCAGCAATTCGACCTGTGGTTGCGCCTCTGCAGATCCACAGTGTAGGTAGAACATGTCAGATTTCATCAGCGAAAAGCAATAGGATTGATTGCACCCCGGCGAGAAGAGAATTAATTTGGGGGTTTTCGTATGCGCTCCGGCAAGAAGAAGATCGAATCTTGGGACTAGAACACTGGAGCTGCATTCTTCAGTTCCTTGGAATCCACAGGATCGAGCATGCACTAGTATGAAACTATGAACCTTTTCAGAGGCAAACCACAAAGAAAATTTTTCCTACGAAAAAGAGTCGAGATTCCAGTAATACGAAGAGAGATTTGACTGATCAGGAGATGAGGACGCATCACCTGGATCACGAGATTCTTCCTGAAGAGTGCATTGGTCTGCGCGAGGCAGTTGGCACCCATCGCCTCGCCGCTCGGCTCCTCCCCTCGGAGAGAAGTGAAGAGCAGAGCTCGAGGAGAAGTGAAGAGAAGACTCTGCTGCTACGCTTGCAAGTGTAGCAGTAGCACTTCCAAGGCACCAGCAGTGCAGGACTGCAAAAGCTGTGTGGCCTTCCACGTGCAAAAGACGGTTTTGCCCCTAGCGATAGCGGATCAGAGCATCCTTCCCTTGCTCCGAAGAAAGGTCAATTTCGGGAAACCGCAGCAGGATATCACAGTGCCCAGCAAGGATGCGGTAGCATTAATTCTATAGGGGTGGGTGGATTTTGCTATTGTGCATGGTCAGAATTACTAGTAGGGTGCTCTACTCAACATCAGTGTTTGGAAATCCTATCCAAAAAAAGATATGGTATTTATTGAAATGGTATTAACAATTGAGTTTGCCATGGACATGGCCCCCTGCCATTTTGTAAAATGTGCACCTTTTAGGTGGGTTGTTCTCGTAACCTATATTTGATGCACTGGACTAATCGCTAGTCATCTAAACTTTAGTCCTAGACTCCTAGTAATAGATTGACTAAAATTAAGTTCAACTCTAACTAATTGTTCTAGCAAAAATGAGTTAAACCGAACTTAAAAACTAACACAGAACGCGAGAAATATGTAAATAATACTCTTCCACCTGCCCTTTCATATCTTAGTGTAGTCTATTCAGGTATGAGTAGGGTCACCTAAAGTTTAGATGGTATCCATGCATCACCTAACTAAACTTTAAGTGAGTAAACCTTTGTCCAATTAAATTTCTTTCCTCCTAAATTTGCAATGTATTTGCCTCGTTCTGCACTAAATTTTGGTGGTTCTTTTATGTGTGTACGCGGTGTACACTTGTGTTTGATGGCCTAATGATCGGAACAAGATATGGAAGTTGAAATGTGTTCCCTCGAAAAAAATGTTGAAATGTGGCAAAAAGGTGTAATTTTATACGAAATGGGCCAGGTTTGATCACAGTTTCTATAAACATATATATATATATATATATATATATATATATATATATATATATATATATATATATATATATATATATATATATATATATGTATGTATGTATGCAAGTATACTTGCGTTCCTAATTAAAAAAAACAATATGCATGCATCCCAGCTTCAGTGGCGTAGATAGAGAAAACAAAAACTTGTCCATCCTTAATTGCTGGAAGCCCAAAAAACTAAGAAATCCTTAATCACAGGAGATCAAACTGACCTAATATATCAGGGATACATTATTATTAATAATTCTAAAGTTGTTAGTATATATATATATATATATATATATATATATATATATATATCATACAGATGGAAGGAGAAACAATTTTGCGTTAAAAAAAAAAGGAAAAACAGTCTTCAGTTGGGTTGCAGAAGCGTATCCGCAAGCCGCTGCACGCTTTTGGTGGCGATCCAATGGCAGGAACGCTGTCGCTGTACCCTACGCCGCTTGCGTCGTTGCCTCCTCGCTCTTCGCCAACGAACAGATCGAGCAACCGGATGTGCCCAAGCACAGTTGGGTGGCCGGCGCAAGCGTTGCATCACCACGGCGCCGACCAAGTCCAACCCAAATCCTGAATGGATCTCAGAGCGATCCCGGCCGGCTCCGCGCAGCGCATGCACTTCTCATGCACTCGATCTCCTCAGCAATCGACCTTGATGAAGACGTCCTCCAGCGTGGTGTCGACCAGGCCCCAGGCGGCGATGTTGAGCGAGCGCTTGGCCTGCTCCACGGCGCGGAAGACCTCGGCGATCCTCACCCCCTGCTTGGGCAGCTCGAACTTCTGCGTCCCGGCGATGTGGTACGTCCGCTTGGCGGCGGGGGAGATGGACCGGACCAGCCGCTCCACCGCCTCGTCTTCGCCCGCCGCCGCCGTCACCGTGAACACGAACGTGCCTCCGTACTTCGCCTCCAACTGCGAGAAACGCACATACATGCAATTACAATGTTGGTTCTGAAAAGTGAAAACAGAGTCAGCTGGGAGGCGCAAGTGATGTGTACCTCTTTGGAGGTTCCGGTGCACCGGAGACGTCCATACGCGGCTATTCCTATCCGGTCGCATAGAGCCTCGGCCTCTTCCATCGAATGCGCTGAAAGGTTGAAGAAGGCATTCCATGCATGATTTCAAGCTCAGTTAAACTGTTGTGATTAGTAGCAGATATGGAAGTGTGTTAGTGTCTGAAAATACAAGTGTGGAAAATTAATCTTACTTGTGAGGATTATGGCTTTGTCCTTTTTGGCAAACTTCAGAGCGTTCCATAAGGCACTCCTTGATGCTGGATCCAATCCTGTACTTGGTTCGTCCAAGTAAACCACCTACAAAATGCATGCTCCAAATAATATACCTATAATAACCTTTAACCAATTGGGTAAATTACATACTGTTCTGTCTCCAAAAGAAATACTGTCTATTTCACTGATCATGGATAACTGCTGCACAGAACAAGTTTAACCTTAGGGTCGCCGATTAGGGATATAGCAACGCTGAGACGACGTTTCATGCCACCGCTGTATTGTGAAACCAGAGTATCAGCAACACCACCATCAAATATCTGTAGTTCTTTTAGAGATTGTTCTGCAGCCTGGAGAAAGAAATAGAAAGCTTTGAGCCATTGACTACTTCCTAGTTGTTACTCCCTGCGTTTCAAATTATAAAACGTTTTGGTTTTCTAGATACATTGTTTTTATTGTGTATCTAGGCACAGTGTATACCTACATACATAGCAACAGCCGTGTATGTAGAAAAGCTAAGGCATTCTATAATCTAGAATATAATGGAGGGAGTACCTACTTACATACACGCCAGGACAATTAGTTTGGTTTCCATCCAGAATATGAGAACTTCTTCTATCTCTTTTCATTCAGATAAAGAGAGAGCAATTTGAACTTCCATTTATAAACTATGGATATATGATGAAGTTACAAATATGCAGATGTATGACAGCAACCTTGCATTTTGAATTTGGAGTTTTCAAATTGTGGGTCAGCTCAAAACAGATCACTGACTCATTAATAGGGTCATCACACAAGATATTCTTAGGCTGCATTACCGGCGGCTTTTGAAGAAACTATAATTTGTGTCTATGGTAACCCTTTTTTTGATAAAGGAAGAAATTTATTAATTTTTAAGATGATTACATCGATGTTTCCAAAATCCTCTATGATAAAGTTATCAGTGATGGTTTCTAAACTCTCAATGATTCCTTAGTCATCCTAATCTCTTGGAGGATCTGGAAGAAACGCAATGCTCGGGTGTTTAGAGGACAATTGCTTTAGTCGGTGCAATTGGACAAAGATATTAAAGAGGTCAGGATGCAGGATGCAGGTTGCTGGTTGCAAGCCACGTTAATCTGTTTGTCTGTTGTATAGCGGTTTTAGGAGAGGTAGTTTCAAGTGTAGCTTGAGCCCTTGTGTGGTTTGGGTCTGTTTTTCTTTCTTTCTCTTTCTCTTTCTCTTTCTCTTTGTTTTATGTCTTCCTAGGCACTTCGCATGCTGGTCTGTATCATATCTATTTTGTATTGTACTTCTATGGGTCACATCTTCTCCTCTTAATGAAACACGTGCATAGCACGTTCTCAAAAATATAAAAATAGCATACATATTCAAATAAAGTTGATAATGCATGTAAACTATTTGCATGGTGCTTCAGCTTGGAAATAGAGTATATCTGACTCTTGGAAATGGAAGTATATTTGACTCATGGAAACAATACCAAAATAAAATAGTAGAGGGTACCCTGTATACAGGTAGTACCTCAATTAACGCAGCACCGTTCAATCTCTTTAGTCTGCCATAGAACATCAAATGCTCACGGCCAGTCAGTGTTTCCCATAGTAATCTACATGGAGAATATAAAAGAAGTAGTGATCACAAGTCAAAAACATTCCACACTAGACCATATTACCGTAAGACAATATATAGTTTTGAATCTTGTAAGGGATTTTCTAACATTTTGGGGAAAAAATAGGAGAATAGTGTGTGAAGAGCTGCAATTACTTGAATTGTGGGCAAACACCTATTCTTGTATAAATCTCGCTCATGTCTGTTCGTATGTCCATTCCATCAATATAAGCCGTGTTAGATGTATGTTTAGTAAATCCAGTCAACTGTTGTTAGGTTAACAAAAGTTGGTAATGTGTGAAGTAGCAATCAAAAATCACTTCTATTTAACAAGCTACTTCCCAAGGTCAATAAAAGGCAAAAGAAATACATACCATGCTAATGAGAGAGGTTTTTCCAGTACCATTTGAACCAAGTCCAAAACATTGTCCGCGTTGGATAGAAAGTGAGAAGCCTTTGACAGCAACTACTTCTGCATTTCCATCTTTTGGAGGGTACACTTTCCTAATGTTATCGATTATGACTGAATAACTGGTATCTGGTTGTTGCAAGAATCTATCAACTATCTCTCTCTAAAAAGAAAGTGGGAAAGCTGCATCATAATGTAACAAATTTAGTGAAGAAAAGACATTCATGCAAAAGTAATTTCAGACAATACCATCGGTACCTAAATTTAGTTTAAATAATATCACACTATGTACAGCATCCAAGTTTGGTTGTGTGTATATGTTGGGGAGGGGGACTCAATGTTAAAAGATCAAGTTAAGCATAACACAAAATTCATATTGTTATGTGTCTATGACTACTAGAGGGATTAAAATAACCATTCATGCTCTTGCTAGTGTTTTTATTGATAGATTGTATTTCTTTATATATAAGGAATTACTTGACACCAATGCAAATAATGAAATGGATTAATTATACTCTCTAAAATACCATATGACGAAAGAGGCAAAAACTTCCAAAATATAATACCTAGATGACTTACGGGCACACAACACCTTAAAAGTCATGCTAATTTTAAGTCAGTGTAGTCTTTTTTTTCAATTTTGTGCAACCACAACACCTTAAAAGTCATGCTAATTTTATTTATTGTGCTATAAGGAGCATTTCTCATAAAACTGTGAGTGGTATCATCTTACCAACAATGGCGCCAAATGTAACCAGTAAGAAGATATAAAGTAATGATATAAGAAGGAAGTAGCAATAGGATATAGTCCAATATTCCATATCACCTAAACCGTCCATCTTCATCATAGCCCTTAGCTTCTGTTGTTTCTCATAACCTAAATTGCTCAGGATGACCTGCAATGTTAGTATGTCATTTTTAGAGAAATATATTGGTTTGTTAGTGTTCCTCTTTTTGTATTCCCCCATTGTATAAGGGACTTTGTTCATATTCAACGTATACCTACTTATATCTTTATATGTATTCGGAGTGGAGTTCTCATGAATACTCAAGTGCTATTTTACAATAAAAAATTAGAGTAAAACGAACTAGAGTTCATCTCCTTTAGTCAGTCCTCTTTCCACCACATGCACTTCATGCGATCCGCCACTAGCCCACCACATCTTCGTTCTCTAAGCACATCATTGGTGCTCAATGCTCATCCAAGCTGACTTGTCTACTCCACTGCTGCCAATCCTCATCCTCCTGAATACCTATTACGCAACTATTGGGTGTTCACCAAGTTGTGCCTAGCTGGCATCGATCTCTTTTTACCAGTTATGATCTACATTAGATTAGATCTGCATCTAGTTGGAAGGGGCATGGGAGCGCCAATTGCCTAGGCTATGATAGCAGAGGTAGCACATGCAACAAGAAGAACGGCGCCAATTACACTAGTGAGGGAGGGGAGATGTGAGAAGTGGAGATGGAAATAGCTGGGCTTGGCCTGTAGGATGTGGGGCATAGGTTGGTTTGGCTTGCTTTACACGTATATATGGGCAACAGGCCGGGCCGTACCAGGCACTGCCCGAAGGGGGTCGCGCCGGTGACTTGGTAGGTGATACAAGTCTGATCTAGTCAAAATCAGACCATGTTAGTAGAATAGGGTTTAGAAACCAGTTGTAGGATTATTTATGGCGGTGTGGACATGGACTGTTGAGGGAGAGTAAATTGAGTCATAGTTTTGTTGTGTTGGCCTGCTGATAGAGGGGGCTACAATGCCCTTATTTCACATACTTCGTGTCTTTGTCCATTTCAATTTGTAAGTCATTTTAGTTTTTTCATAAGTCAAAATTTTTGTAACTTTGACTAAGTTTATATTCACATATACAATTTCAAATAAATACACTATCAAAATACATTTCATGGTGTTCTAATGAATCTTGTTAATGTTGTAGATGTATGTGCATTTCTCTATAAATTTGGTTAAAGTTAGAGAAATTTGATGTTGGGCAAAGCTAAAATAACTTACAATTTGAAATGGATTATTTTGGGATAGTAGCATATTTCTCCAAGTAATTATAGTTACTTTATATGTCACAAAAGAAAAGGGTTTCAACTTTCATTAGTTTATAGTAAAAAAAAGATCATACCAGGAAAAGGAGCATTATAATCTGTATAAAAACCAGCTTCCCAACTATAAAAGACATATCTGGAGCCTTAATAGGATGACCATCTCTAGGCATGTCTTCAACAAACTCAAATCGCGTCTTAGTATCATTACCCCTCAACTGAAGGTATGCATTTGAGGCCTGCACAATAGCTAGAAACTCTGTAAGACGACAAAATGATAAACAAAAAAGGCAATGCACTAACTGATGTTTGGACTTTGGATTATTTCTTAAGGCATGTACAAATGACCTACTAAAGGGTTGGGGAAACGGTAGTATTATTTTGTAGTAGGAGATGTATCACTACCGGAAACACCTAATTTGCCGAGTGTCCCCACGTTTGCCGTGGGCACGATTTCGGGCACTCGGCAACATTGTGTTTGCCGAGTGTCCCAAATAGGAAACTCGGCAAAAATAACACTCACGGCATAACAGTTTATACCGAGTGCCTACACTCGGCACGTAATAGGCACACGGCAACATCATGTCCAAAGAACACCGTCCGATCTCCGTTATCCTATATGCCGAAAAGTGCCAAAATACAACACTCGGCAAACACACATCGATACCGAGTATCACCTTTTGACACTCGGCAAGCGGTATTATATGCCGAGTGTTCGACTCTTACACTGCAAACATTTTTTTTTGATTTTGCCCCCAAACTTTTTGTACTGTTGTGTTACAATACTGTTGCTCTCTGTTCAAGTAATGTACATTTCGAGTTATTTTACTATATTTCATCAATTTATTTTAGTCAAATGAATTTTCGTAATTTTTTGGATTTGAACTGCAAGTGCTTGAATATCCGAAAAAGTGAATAAAAATGATATTCTTTTCACTTTGAGTTTGTTTTGATACCGTATCCAAGGCGGACCATAAATCTCGAACATTGTGTTCATGAAACATGAGCAGTAAACACGTGGCGGAAACGTCTGAAAATTCTATAAAAACAAACAAAGTCTAAAAATCATGAAATTCATCGAGTTGTCGTGGATATCATACGTGGAGGCTATGGTAAAAATTGAGAGTGTTTCGCAAAGTTGACACGCACGTTGTTTACAAATCGGATCATCTCCTAAGTTTACGAGATGTGAGAAAGATCCGGTAAGATGAGGAGACAATTTGAATGTCGATTTGGAGTTTCACTTCAAATTTTTTTGTATATATAATAGAGAACAAAGATCACTTCTTGTGAATTTTGGCAATTTTTCAAGCCATTTCGTAATTTTTATTCTTTCAATGTCAATTATTGAATTTTATATGCGTGATATACAAACACAGAAATAATAATCCAATTTTTGTACAAAGCTTGAAATATACATTTGTGAGTGCACCTAACAAAGTGTAATGCAAGTTCATTTCATGAAATTAGTGAAACATGAAATAGAGGAAAGTAATTAAGTAGAGGAAAGAAAAGGGTAGCATGAAATATAGAAATAAGTTTGCCGAAAGTGCTTATAGATGGCACTTTCGCAAAAGTGATGGATTTTTAAGGAGAACCGGATTTTTAAGTAGTTTACCGAGTGCGCCATCGGCCGACACTCGGCAAACTGATGGAATTTTTTAAAAGCGTTGCGAGTGTCGATCGGGCCGACACTCGCAAACAGGCCATAAAATAGATAGGCCATGGGCCGGCTCGGCCATTTCTCCATTCCTCCCCACCCTCCCCTCCCACTCGCGCCGCCGTCGACCTCCTCCCCTCGCCTGTCGGCCCCCCCCACGCGCCCTCTTCCCTCCCCACCCGCGGCCCCTCCCTCCCCCCCGCCGCCCGCCCGGCGTCGACCTCCCCCCGGCCGGTCTCCCTCCCCTCGCCCATGGCCGAGCTCCCCCACCCTCCTCCTCCCCACTCCGCCCCCCACCCATCGTGCTCCCCACGCCCGCCCGTCGAGCTCCCCCACGCGCCCCCTCCTCCCCACCATGCCCCCCTCCTCCCCACCCCGCCCGCCTCCTGGGCCGACCTCCTCCCCCCGCCTGCCGGTCACACTGACGCCCACCGGCTGCCCACGCCTGTCCCTTGCTGAACCGAGGCCAGCGCGAGCACTGCCACGAAACCGCCCTAGGGTTGTGGAGAGAACCTTGAGACTTCGCCGTGCTGCAGGAGCCCACCATGAGATCCCACCGCTTCCCCATTCTCCTAGTAAGCCCCATTGTATTCTCACCGCTTCTCATATTGTCCTGCTTAGATAGTTTAAGCATTCATCGAGTGATTTCAAAAATAGCTGTTCATTTGAGGATGGAGATAGTTTATAAATTAGAGTTGATGGTCGATGAATGCTTGAATTGGTGTTAGCAGTTTGTCATGATTTGTGATTATTAGTCCGATTATGTTCCTCTTGTCCTTGATATCCTTTTTTTGAGTCGACGGCCTTTTGAAGTCCTGATTGCTTAAAGTTTAATCTGAGCTTGATTTGTAAATATCGTTTTGAAACCCGTAAGGGAGGAATGGACTAGATATTCCTCTTTTGAGCATGTCTTTCATTGTGTATGCGTGATCATGGGTGCGAGTCTTATGGTTGGCCAACTAGTGAGGAGTGAGTTAGTTTTTAGCGAATATTATTTGATCCTACAATTGCTCGGTATCTCGTATTTCAGGATGAAAAGGAGTACTAGGTACTATGGTCTATTTGGATCTTGCTAACTTTAGCATCCTATAACATACATTAATACTCGATTCGTTTTAAATTATAAGTTATTTTAAATTTTATGAACAAATAGATTCGCAGTGTGAGCCACAAATTGTTAACTAGTGCCCCACACCCCATATTTTGAAAATTTGTAGGCTGTTTTTTTCATTAGCAATCTTCCTAGTTGTAGCATGCCTATGAATATAGTCGTATGTCTCTGTTTTTACAAAGCTCACTTGGTGGACTAGCAAATTGTTCTCTTGGCCATTAAGATCTCGCTTTCTCGCTAGTCATTACTGACCTCACTTTCTCTTCTTGTGTGGTAAGGGTAGAAGCCAAAGCATGTGTCACTTGCAAGTCGTATGTGATGCCCAAAGACCAGCAGTAGCATTAGTGGATTGAATAAGGGCAAAGGAAGAGAAGGGCTAGAGTCATGAATATACTGGAGAGACATTCCTGTAATTAACCACTTTGTTGTTACCAGGACCAAGATCTTTTCACTTTAAAACTGAATTTTTCCTTTTCACCGATGACCTAATCTTGATCATCTAGTTCCAAGTGTATATGCAACTATGCATGTATTATGCCCGCTAACTTTGATTGTTTTGCAAAATTATGGGGGTGTACATATGCAAATGGACACAGCTCATCTTTCTAGAGTTCAATTCTCCGATGCAAATTCGACATAGATAGTACTGGTGGCGGTCTTATTCTAGTATTTTATTTTGGAGTGAGTGAGGATGCCAAGTATATTAATTATATTCTAGCTACTACTTTGACCAATTGCTCTACTCACGCATTTCCTTGTTGTGCAGGCTGCGCAAAGAGGTCCTCCCTTCTTCCGACCAGCAAAGCAACAACAAAAGGTTCAGATTTGAGCCGCCAACAAGCTGTAAGCCTCAACACCACCACCGCCCATTTGACTTTGGTATGTTTCATTGAACTAGTCGGTAGTATGTTTCGTTGAAACCAAGAAAGTGCACCTCCATGAGACGTGAATCGCCCATCAATAATGAGCCATGTACAAACGTTGCTGGCTGTGCGGGATATATATATAGATATAGCCTAAGCTAAGTGCATTATAAAGTAAGAGATTGAAGATTTAATTTGTCGGTGCTGCGATCATGTTTGAAAACGGAAACGTATAGTAGAGAGTACGTATGGTTTTCTACCGTTTCAAGCTAGTCAATAATGCGCCGTAACAATGACGATCTATCGCCGCTAAAGTAGCCAATCGCATCATGAGGATTTATTAGTCTTGTATACGATTTCAAAAATCTAATGATGATGAACGAGGACGCAGCCTACTTTGTATGACACTAACTAGCTGATAGAAGGTAACTCTAGAATAGTGCTAGATCAAACAATTTTTAGTTTGACTGATAGAAGGTATATATATTACAAGATTGCCATGTCCGCCAATTGGCCGGCTCAATTGGAAGTCGACAAGTGATGTGGTGGTCCATGATTGGATGAACATGCTTGACTGGATAGGAGTTTTGGCTTACAAGTGACTTAGGTCAAAGGCAAAGTCTAGCTTGTCATGTCGGTGGTTAAATTCATACATGTTGATACTATTTCTTATAAATTCGGTTAAATATAAGATATTTTAAATTTGAACAGACTTATTCTTTTAGGGAGGATCAAGCTTCAGGCTTTTGTTGGTGTTCCGTGGACCTTGTAGCGGTTGAGGCTTCTCCTGCTTATGGGATAGCGAGGTGAGGCATAAAACACCCTCTTTTCTCAGATCATGCATGTTTGTAGAGCACGTAATCTTTAAGTTAGGCGTCTCCCGTTCGAAAGATATACGGTTAGAAATATGCAGCTCTTTGCATGTCGATAACCGTATCTGCTTTTAATTGTCCACGTTTTTGATTAGCCCTAGGATGCGTAGATGGGATTAGTCTCCGTGGTCTACTCCGTTCCTGAGGCGAGTTTTGGCAAGAGATCTCCTGTTGTTCTCCGGATACACAATCTCCCTACCGGGACGTGTATTTGGAGAACAACGGGAGGTGTCACCGAAATTGTCTCGGATCGGAGTAGACCATGGAGACTAACCCCAACTTACGCATCCTCGAAATGGGATTAGGACCTATCCCGACCTATTAGATGGTAGGAACATCGTGTACATGCAATTAATTCTTAATGTCTCATTGGTATATATATATATATATATATATATATATATATATATATATATGTCGAGGATGGATGACCGTGAGTGGATGTACATGGGCCGCCCAAGTCGAGTGCTTTGACCGATGAATGGATTGAGAAGACGGAGGCTTTCATAGATAGAGCATTTGCCCTAGTTCCGGGAGCGTCGGCCATTTGGTGTCCGTCAAAGAGATGTGCAAACAGCGCGCCGGCAACCAAAGGATGTCATGTCTACTCATCTTTGCTTGAATGGATTCACGGCAGATTATACTCGGTGGATCTACCACGGTGAAGCCGATCGGATGAGAGAGGAGGTCGTGAGAGCACGCGTCGAAGATTTCGATGTCGATGTCGGGTAGGTGATCGCTAAATGACTTTCACGGCTACACGTGAGTGAAGAAGGTGGGGAGGAGGAGCCGGAGGCAACCGCAAAGGCGTATTATGACATGTTGTCTTCGCACGTAAACCCCTTCACGGCCACACAAAGGTTTCTCAACTGGATGCCATTGGATCGGTAATGGCCTTAAAGGCTCGGTTTAGCATGAGTCGAGATTGTTACGATGCTACGTTGGCGCTTATTGGCGGCTTGCTTCCGTAAGGCTCGTAGAATCGGATGGCGATTGCTACAAGCTCGTGAAGGACATGCACTACGAGGCGCCAGATCTGGCGGTCTGACAAAGAATACAAAGTCGTCTTCGAGGAAGTGAAGATCGACAAAGACCTCGCAAGAACCTTGACGCTGACCAAAGAGCAATACATCTTTGGTAAATACTGCTTTCTTCCCGAGATTAAGTACACTTCTTTGTTCTTATATGACAAATGCATGTTGACGTGTAGGTGCCTCCAATTTGGGTGGCCGGTAAAGGCGAAGTCTTTGGAGGAAAATGGTGGACAAGTGGTGCTCCCGGAGTGGTCGGAGACACACGCCGCTTGTCGGGAGCGGCGTTTGATGATGACAGGTGCACCACACCATCAGGGGAACCTTACCCTTGCCGAGTACGCGGAGAGATGGGTACGTGACTTCATTTATGTATTCCAACGCTTGCTTCTCGCATAGTTTCTAATGATCTTACTATTTGTTTCACGATCGGCGTCACATGGTGGCGCACCTTGCTCCTGTGTGAAGGCATGGGCTATGGCCCACAAAGGCAAGGCGACGTCCGCCGTCCGACTTCAACCCGAGAGACCCCCTCGGCGTCAAAGAATCCCTCCATCCAAAGCCGTCTCACCGAGTACAATAACGGCGGCTAAGGCGGTCCATGGGCCGAGTACGATCCGAGCACCCAGGATTTTCGAAGGTGACCTTGTCATGAGGGTGGAGGAGGCAAGAAGCATGGCGGTATTGGCTTGGCGATAAGCGTCGTCGACACGGCCACTACCCCCACTCTCTCCCGAGATCCGAGCAAGCGACACGGGCCGTAGGCCACCCATACGCCCACGGCCGACCAAAGACACAAAGACGCCATGCGGAACTTTGCGAGTTATTACTCTTTTATTCGTGCGTTCATTGTTTCTTACATACCTTTGACTTCCATTGTAACAATTAAGGTGAAATTTTGTAGGCCGAGCTTGAAGAAGAGAGGAGGCAGAGAATAGCGTTGGAGGCGAAGATTGACGCTGATCGGCAGAGGCGTGGAGCACATGTTTCAAAGGATGCAAAATCTCGGCGCCAAGATGGGTGAACCTCTCGCCACAAGCGCTATTCCTTCCTCCTCCTCGTCCCGATGACACTCCCCGTGAGTACATCTATCCTCGGTGCCGATTAGTCTTTAGCAATGGGAATGATGGGGTGATTTGCATCAAAGGTTACTCACCTTGTTAATTTGCGCTTTTTGAGCTGCTAGTTCACTTCTACCCTTTTTGCTTACCTTTTGGTTTGGGTGTTGTTCAGTGTTGGCTGCAGCAGACTCTTGCCGCTTTACCTCTTAACATGTACAATCAGAGATAAAACTTGAAAAGTCACACTAATTAAGGATTGGAGTTGAAACGCCGTTGATCCACCTCCACATGTACAATCAGAGAACAATTCATCGGTCATTGGTGGTTGCCGCTGAGAGATCGACCGACAAAGAACGTGTGCCGACCCATATACCGGTATGCGACATCGAACCAACTTGCTGCATATGCTTTGCCTTCTAGAAGCTAGCTAAGCCTCGCATCAGATGTGAAATTAGCCCTGTGAGTGTGTACCGGTCAAAGGGGTACATACCAATACTTGTACACGCATCGAGTGGTGTCGGAGTATATGATTGAGACCGGCCGAGTAATGCTTGTCTAGAAGAAGAAGAATTTTGGCGTGTAGTATACCCGGGTCAAAGGCAGCCACCACCATCGATCGATGCTTTATTTGTGACAATCGACACCGTG